TATAGGGTCGCAATGAGTCACAACCACCAGGGAAATGCAATTTAAGACAGTAATGAGGTACTTTTTTCTGTGCCTCAGACTGATAGAAATTAGAACTCAAAAAATAGCAAGTGTCAGGATTGTAGGAAAACTGGTGAAAGGCAAATTGTTTACAAACACCTGGAAAGAAATTTGGCACTTTCCGATAAAGGTAAAAATTCTCATCCTTACATTTAGGATTTCCGCTTACCTAGAAGAGCCCTCACGCTGATGGAGAGGCATTAACATGAATCTTTATTGGAAGCTTTAAAAAAATTTTATAGAAATTTTCAAACATACATTCAAAGTGGAGAGAACGGTGTAATGCACTCCCTTTTACCCATCACCCAGCTTCAAAACTTTGTTTTTGCCATTCTTTTTTCGTCTATTCCCTGCCCCACTTGTTTTCTCTCCCTTCCCTTCCCTTCCCTTCCTCCTTCCCTTCCTCCTTCCTTTAAGTATTTTAAAGTGAATTTCTCACAAATCATGTCACCTGTAAACACTTCGGTATTTACATCTAGAAGACATGGACTTTGATATCATCTAATATCTAATTTGTGTTCAATTTTCTCACTCTCAAAAATATCTTTTTACTGCTGACTTGCTTGAATTAGGATTCAAAAATTTCCACATATTACATTTGGTTGTTATGACTCTTAAGAAGTCTTTCTATCTATAATAGGAAACCCCTCCCTATTAAAATGCTATTTATTTGTTGAAGAAACCAAGTCATCAACTCATTTGACCTATAAAATTCTCCTTGTCCTAGATTTGACTGGCACCTTGTAGTATCTTTAATGTATTCTTCCATCCTCAATAAGGAGCCCTGGTGGTGCAGTGGTCAAAGCGCTCAGCTGCTAACTGAAAGGTCGGAGGTTCAAATCCACCAGCCTCTCCAAGGGAGAAAAATGTGGCCATCTGCTTCTGTAAAGATTACAGCCTTGGAAACCCTATGGGACAGTTCTACTCTATCCTATACGGTCGCTTCTAGTTGGAATCACTCGGCAGCAAGGAGTTTGGTTTTGCATTGAATGTTTCCTGTAAAATGGCAGTTAGGTCTAGAGGTTGCATTAGATTTTTTCTGCAAGCCGACTTCAGGGTGGGTGCTGCGTACTTGTCTTGCATCAACCTGGGGGGCCCTTAATGTCTGACTGCCTCCCTTTCAGTCATGTTAAAAGTGATCCACCAGTGTGGGGGTTGTCAGCCTAGTCCCTCCATTTTAACCACCAACCTTCTCCCGATGGTTTTAGGCAACGCTGTTACATAAAGCGAATGAATAGAAACAGTCTGTCCTTCATTAAGAGAGGAAAGACACACAGTTAAATGGACGATGATAGGAATCAAACTGCCAAACTGTTAACAGTGGTTAATCTGAGTGTTGGAAAGATAAGTCAAATTTGTTTGGGCTTCACTGTTTTCAAATTTCTTTAAATGGAAACAAAAGGAGTTGTCTTACTTCCCGTCCCTTCCTGCCTCCACCTCTTCCTTCTTAAGAGAGGTGAGACTGACGGGAAAAAGACTGGAGGGAAGATTCCAGATCCAAGCTCCAGGAAGGGCAGCCAAGGAAGGCAGCGGAGGACAGTAACGAGAGTGAACTGCAATTGTTTTTCTTTTATTTTTGCCTAGCCAGGGTCCATTCCTCCTCCTGACAGAGGCCTCGTTTCCCTTTGGTGTCTCCCTCCTCCCCAGGATTCAGTTTTTGGAGGATGGTCATTAGATGCTCCACCCTCCTCTGGTTGGAGCTGGGAGGCCAACCAGACACTGACTCCCAGGACGAGGCTTGAGGAGCAGCGCCTCCTCCTAGAAGCCTCCCCTCCACTGGGGCAGGTGCCTTTCTTTTTTCTGACACTGTAGGACAGAGTAAAACTGCCCCACAGGGTTTTCTTTCTTTCTTTTTTTTTTTTTTTTTAATTGTGCTTTAAGTGAAAGTTTACAATTCAAGTCAGTTTCTTACACAAAAATTCAAACACACATTGCTATACGACCCTAGCTGTTCTCCCAATAATGTGACAGCAAACTGCTTTCCACCCCGGATTTCCCGCGTCCATTCAACCAGCTCCTGACCTTTTCTGCCCTTCCATCTTGCCTCCAGGCAGGAGCTGCCCATTTAGTCTCATGCATCTACTTGAGCTAAGAAGCACATTCTTC